TTTGGAGAAGGAGAAGTTGCCGAAAACAGGAAGACGTCAGAACCATCTGAGGGACTTTTGGTACACGCTTGTTGAAAGGTGTTTGAGAAGAGAGCCTTGGGTCTGACAAACTGGAATTTTAGTACGCCTCTCCGTTCACAGTGGGGCAAAATAATTGGTCATCAGTGACTACTAATTTGGTTTAGTAGCCAGAGGCAGTTTTTTTTCTTCCCAGAAAATCAATGACAGTGCCGAGGTCTGTTCAACGTGATTCAGCTCAAGATGGGTCCTCATTTAGCTCTTGATGCTTCTTCCACTGGAGACAGCTATTTTGTTAAAATGAATTTAAAATCTATCTATAATACTCGGCTGAGGGAGCGGCACCCGTCAATGCCATGCTGCTCTTGAGGTTTCAAGGTTGTCGGTCTCCCCTCAAACTTATTTTCAAAGGCTTATAGATCAACTGGAAAAAAAAGGTAGTTGGCAAAACTGGATACAAAGGACTTTGCTCAGGAAGGGGATTTATACCAGCTTAAAAGGTGTAATCAATTTGATTGCTAAGTTGTGTTGAAAAAGGGTAAAAACTTGACTTGTGATTGCATTTTCCTTGTATAATTCAAAAGCACAGGGGCTTGTAAATATTTTAAGGCAAACTTCAGCCCTTGGATTTTCCGAGTAGCTCTCCGGCCGGCGCAGATGGCTCCCGCAGCACCCTTCCCGCTGCTGGTCAGGATGGGCTCCGGCGGGGAGCGGAGCGAGGGAGCAGCGGACATGTGCACAGGCATCGACTCCCCGGCGCCTGCGCAGCTGTTTGGGCTGCGCCAAAACCACCGCTCCGATTTCAATGGCAGCTTAGTGGCAGCAGGATCTGGTCCTGCATAGGTGCTTACGCAACAGATAAATCGTATAATTGAATTTTTTTTACAGTTGTGATATTAGAACTGTGTTGCAATGCCACTGCCTATCCTGAAACTTTAACCCTTTCTTGAAAGGTTAATGAGGTTTCAGGGGGTTTTAGCCTCTGCTGGTGTCCTTGCATCTAAGATGATGTGCTTTTGCTGTACAGCCAGGATCTGTCTTTGGGGTCTTCAGTCCACGGGGGAGACAGCCACAGGGGCCACCACCTTTGTATTCCTTTCTTGTGTACTTTATGACGGGAAGGATTCGTCCTGTGGTAGTTGCGTCCACGTAGGGAACTTCCCCTGGCTTGTGACCGGATCAGCTGAACCAGCTCCCACCAGCCCAGGCTGGTTTCTTATTGGGAACCAGTTTGGTCTTCAGCATCTCTGGAGCACAGGACTCCTTGGTGCAGCCAGCACAGATTATCTTCAGCAAATAAAGCACAAGTTGGGGGCTGTG